TTACTCAATTATTACCTCATTATATAATGTGTTTCCACTTGCCAATGTATTTATTAGGTGGGATGCAGTAGACTACCTGCCGATGGGTAAGCAGAACATTTCCCAATGATTCTCTATTGCTTCTCCAGCAAAGTTAATATTCTCTTTACATCTATACCTGCTTGAAGCACAGTCAAATTCTTCAGTGTCAAGTGTGGCTTCATGTGATGCTGTCAGCACTATAGCCCCTGCAGGGTGTTTCAGTCTTGAGATGCTTTAATGCAAATGCATAAGTATCATCAGTCTAATATTATTTGTGCCTGCCAATCACTGAAAAGGGGAAAAAGTAAGTTTGGTCCAGATTGTTTTATATATGAACTATTTTACCCCAAGTATTTCTAGGAGACATGTAATTTCTGTAGCATGCAATAACCTTGTTTCCCAGAAACTTATTTGGCAGGAAAAAATGTAAAGCTGACCATTTCCCAGAGGACCTACAATCTTACAGAAAGTTGAGCACCCAAAGGTGAGAGAAAGAGGCACCTAACCCTTTCTCTGCATGCTCCCAGCCTTCTCCACTAAGTCACCTTTTCTAACTGAAAAGCCAACAAATGTTTGGTATTAATTGGTTTAAAAAAAAAAAACTAAACTTTATTTGGTTTGAAAACACAATCCCATATGCTTCTGAGTAGATTTGGTTTCATCCTAAGACACTTAAAAGCATTCATATCTGCTCTACTGTTACATCTGTTACATCTCTACTGTTATAATTGTTATATCTTTACTGTTACATTTAAAATCATTAATTAGTAATCCCTTAAAACAAAAATAATCCACTGGGAAAAAAATTTTTACATGCCTACCTTAAATGGCAGGATGTTACATTTTCAAAAGGATTTTTACTATATAAAGAAGCAAGCTGAGAAGCAAATTTTTCTTTGAGGGACTCCATCTAATAATTTTTCAATCATGAATCACTTTAACTACTTACGGCATAATTTTTCAACTCTATAAATTATACATAATAATGGTTGCATGGTCTCTCCATAAAAACTATGATGAAAATGTGCATTTGCTAAAAACTTCAGTAAGTGTAGGCCAATTCTTAACATAACTTCACAATATAAGTAAAATGCACAGATAACCATTTCTTCCACTCCCTCATCTCCTGGATGATGCATGCCACTTAACTCATTGCTGTTTATTTAGGAGAAAAATACTAAGAACATTTGAAGCAGTATCAGCACCACACACCTTGTGAGCCTAGACCAACAGGAATGTTTGTGGCTAAGGCATCTTCTTTGATGAAAACTAATCACAAACTTTTGCAATATTTATATTGCCTGTTGTGCAAGTGTTCTAAGAATATTATGTATACTGTCAGAGAAAGAAGATGAATAACTACATTACTTGCCATCTATAAGACCTGTGATTGTCAGCATGGTAGAAAGAAGAAACAGATGTAAGATAGATGATGTATAATAAAAACTTGGTCTCCCTGAATTACAATTAAAACTTCAATTTGAACCCATGATTATTTCATTTGCAAACAGTTTACATAGCATATATTTTACACATTCTAGTTCTGTCCACTGCAAAAGTCAAGAAACAAGATTAATTTAGTAGCAATAAGCACCCATAGTAACAAATGATATTGTTTGGACTAAGGAAGCCAGGATTTTAGGATAACAGTCTGCTTTCCAGGTCTGTATCTTGATATGTTCAAGAGTCTGAGACATTTTGAAATGCCAGGGAATTATTCAGTACATAGAGGCTAGCCAAGACAACAACAGACACATCAAAAAATCTGACACCAATTTGAACATACTCCCACAGGTGAAAATAGATCAGTTTTTACATTAGCGTATAATTTTAATGAGCTAAAAGACTTCCAATATGTTCATCAATGAAGATGTAAGTATTGCTTTGAAACAATTCACTGGACATCCTCTGGAGGACGTTAGAGAGCAAATATATTAAAACTGTTTACTGAAGAGAACAGTGTTACTGTCTATCCCATAGTAACCAAATGATTGAGGATAAGCTTTTTCTTTTTCTTTTTATACTATTTTAAAGGCAGTGAGAAGCAGGAAGGGAGGGGGAGAGAAAGAAAGTGAGAAAGAGCGATAGAGACACACACACACAGAGATTTTCTATCTGATAGTTACTCCTCAATGCCCCATATAACTGAGGCTGAGCAAGGCTGAAGCCAGGAGATAGAAACGCCATCTAGGTCTCCCACGTGGGTAGGCAGGGACTCAGCATCCTCATCTGTTGCTCTCACAGGCGCTAGCAAGATCCTCGATCAGAAGTGGAGGTAGGGGTAGAAAACTTCATTACAGGCAGTTTCAAATGGTATCTCGGTATCCTAAGACGCAACTTAATCTGCACTAAATTGCCTGCTTCAACGAAGGCCTATTTTACTTTATAAAGCCTACGGACTAGCAAGCAAAAAATAATTAGAATATGTGCATTGTTCAACCCCAACAAATGAGTAGATATAGGCAATGATCAGTAAAGGCTCCTAATATAAACAGAGAGAAAATCAGGCATTATTTCTCCACAGAGAAGTACCATGCCATAGCTTTTCAAAACAAAAACACAAAAATGGGCCTGAATCCAACTGCGCCTCAAAGCAGGCTACCTCTATTGATGGAGAAGAAATACTAAACACCATGGGAGCACAGACAACAACTCTAGATTGTGGGAAAAGTGTATGAAACAAATGCCTAAGGAGGAAAAGATAGAGAGCGGGAGGGAAGGCAAGTGAGAAGGTGCTATGTAATTAATGGAAAATAAGAGGAACCTATCAAGTAGCTTTCTGCTAACCCGGATTTAAAGAACTTTTAAAAATACAATGCTACATATCATATATAATATAAATAATACACATATAGAAATATATAGAAATGTTGATATAAGTCATAAATTAATAATTAAATAAGATGAGTGATGACTATACATATTCATTACACTATGGTAGCTCTATAAGTTTGACATTTCTGGAAAGTTCATGAAAGAAATTTGTTTGACATTCATTTATGTCAAATTACCTTGAGAAATCCTGAGCAGTATATAAATATTAATATATGTATGTATAAATGTATATATATATATGCACACACATATTTTAGATAAATAAATAAATAAAACAAATAATCATTATGAATATTACTCCGTGGCCCATAAATGTGTGCCATTACTGTTAGTTTAAAAAAAGAAAATTTAGGGGTTGGTATTCTGACATCCACACAAAGTATAGGTTTGAGTCATGGCTGCCATACTTCCAGTTCAGTGCCCTGGTAATGGGAAAGTAACAAAAGATGACCCAAGTTCTTTTCTGATACTCCTAAATGAAGTTAGGGCTTATAGCTGTGAATATAGATATTATGAAGGCTAAGTCAAACTAATAAAATTTATGTATCTAGTTAATTGCATTTCTCTGGGTTTAAGACAGTCTAGACATTTCCAAACGCCTTTCAGAATGGCCACAATTCAATAGAATGGCTCCATATATGAGTACATTTCTTTGTAGTGTCAGACAAAACCCTTTCATTCCCGCTAACCATCTAACTTTACAACTCATACCACAGAGATTTCAATCCAAACTTTGGGATTCTTCTTGCTAACACTATCAAAGAACAATAACAGTAACAGTTTAATTTCTTTCATCAACTGCATGTGAGGTTGTGTTTTGCTTTGTTGGTGCTAAGAAACTGATAGTGGGAAATTCAAATCAATCCACATATTCAAAGAAAAGTTGATGCATCTACGATTTTAAAATAATTATTGAATTCAAGTTAGGTCCAGAGGTAACAGAAGCTGCTACTCCCCATGCACACACATCAATGTAATTAAAACTTAAGATAAAATAAAAGGGTTCTTCTGAAAAATTTGTGGAATAAACACAATTAAAATATAAAATTTTGGCATAAAAGAATTTTTTAACTCCACATGTGGCTCTTTTTAATAAAATGCATTTTTCAAGAAACTTTTGAAGACTCACCTTCTCCTTCCTGCCACCATTTTGTATAGCAAACAACAAACATTTAGAGAAAATCAGAATGATAGTATTGGAATTATGGTGTGGTCAATCTACAGTTTTGTGCAAATAAACAAAATTCACAAATAGTATAAGTCTTCAGTACTGGTTGCTATATCTTCATTAAGCAATCCTTTAATTGAGCTAGAACACATATTAAGATTGACTGATAGGAAGCTCTGACTCCTGCTTTATACTGATAATCTTTCTAAAGAGGAAGCAAAAATGGCAGGTAACGGAGTTCTGTAGGAACTTTAAAGGATCTTCTTTCAAGGGCAAGGAATGTGAAAAGAATAATGAAGAACACAGCCTCAAGTAGAAGTGGAAGAGTAATTACTGAATGTTGCAGAAAAAAATTGGATGCATTAGGAAATGCAAATTGGTTTTTGGATAATTGAGTAGAATGTATATATACATAATTTCTCTTCGAGAATCCAACTGGTAATGATTTGAACTAATGCATAGCTTCAATATGTGATTCCACTTAAACATATCGGTTTCCAAGTTGTGTTCGGGATTGAAGGATCTATTTACATTAAAGAAGCTGCATAATCTCATTAGAAAATCAATAATGTGTTCTATGTGTGGTCCCAGATAAAATTTTGCCACAATTTCCACAGTTTAGGTCTCAGAGTTCCTTAACATTTCTATGCTTTGACATCTAAATTTGTATACCTCTTCTTTCAGATAAAATTGAATGCAATCATTAATAAACTAAGCTAAATAACAACAACAACAACAAAAATAAAACAATGTAAAAATACCGTTGGGGAAGTTTTGACTATCAAACAAATGAAAATGTAGAGAACAGAAGACAGTGTAGGTGGAATACATGGGATCTAGTCCTGGCTCACTAAATAATTGTAATAGTCAAGAACATAAATCTGTTTAAAAAATAACAGTTCATTTGATAGCTAGTGAAAATATTCCACAAAGATTCAGCAAGCAAAGACAATATGATGACATGAAAGAGACTCACCTGTCTTTGCCAGTTTCCTTCTTAAAGACTCCATCACAGTAACTCATGCGCTTCTCTGTGGTCACATAAATTTGGGCATTTGGATAGACATCAACCGTCTTCTTCAACATGTTGTACACAATGCCATTGCCATCTTTCCTCATGTTACGGAAAGGACCCCAAATAACGTAGATAGTAGTGTTGGCTTCCTTGAAAAAATAATCAGGGTTTTTTAACAGAAGAGGAACACTGGTGTGGGAAACAACGCGAATCATTGTCATGCGGCCAACGTCTTCTTCATAACCCTTCGTGGGAGCATTGTTCATTCTCCAAATGCAGGAGGACTGATCTATCTCACTTCCCACTTTCTGGCCAACCATCTGACCAGAGTTTGACACTATGGCACAAAGGTCACAGTCCAGTTGCAAAGGCTGAAAAACAAAAGAAATAAAAAGGTGGTTGTTAATTCCACCTAGCAGTAAGTTCCTCTGGGAAAAATACTTCAGATATCATAATGGCTCAATAAGGGAATATCAGATATATTTTGCATATATGCATAAATGTGTGTATACATAAATGTACACACATATATAGCAGTCTGAGCTATATGTTATAAAGTCAGGAATTGTCTTTCATTAAATAGTGAACACATACTGTTAAATAGTAATTCCAATTTCTACAACTTCCATGTTTTCGTTTAAAATCATACAGAGAAACAGTCATTTATTTTCCACTCTAACTAATGAATTATTTTTTATTCAGAAGTGTAATTTCAAATAATGTAAGGAGACTTGAAAATAGGTGACCTCTATAATAAGCTTGGTGGATCTAAAGGAAATGCCAAAGAAACATATTCAGACATTTATTTCCATATTCTGCTTCTATACATGCATGGTTATGTATCAGCTGATAAAAACACAAAATTTTCAGCAAATGACGATGCTCCAAAAAAAGATTTTAGAAACCAGGCTGACTTCATACAGGTCCTTGGCTGCTAAAATATCACAGAGATTCTAATATCTTCAAGACTCTTTGTTAATAGGCCTTTGTGGTTATATTTATTCTAGGTGAAAATTTAGAAAAACCTCTTGTAAGAAGTCACAAAACGAATTTCTAACAGTCTCTACAGTTAGAGACTAACTCACTCCCTCTCTTAAAAGTGAAGCACCAACTTTTAAGATTTTCAGTTGATAGAGTTGTGGTAAGAAGATTCAACCTCAGATTTTTTAGCTGCTCCTTTCATTAGTACTTGCTTTCTTCCATCCTAAAAACAGCCACATGAATTAACTTTGCTGAATCTCTTCCACATGCAAAAGTACATCTTGTACAACAGCAATAAAGAAGCCATATGCTTTTTTGACACATATTTTCTCATTTTCTTTCTATGACATGCACATTGTGCATGTGACTTTTGCTCCTGAATTTTCATTTTGCTTCTTGGTGAGTCGTTCCGCACATGCTGGGTATTGTCCTTATTTTACTAGTTGTATTGCACTTTAACTTATGGTTTAATTATATCTGTCCTCTAGACAGTAAACTATAAAAAACAACAATGCCTGTCTTCTTCATTTTACTCCCACTCCCCAGAGTCTCTGGAATATATTAGGTGCACAATTGGTTACTTTAGGAAATGAAAATGACTGAAGTAAAAATAACATATTAGTAGTCTCAACAATGATCTTAGCATTGGGAAATAAACAGACTTTCTGAAATTATTTACAATTGTTCATTTGGATGAAAGAGAAAAGCCATCCTAAAGAAGTACAGCAATTTAACAGCAGATTCAATCTAGAAGCCACAACTTACATGGGTGAAGTGAATGTGAGATATGCAAGAAAGACAGGAGTTAAGGATAATTTTAGACTTTTAGCCCAAGGAAGAGGGGGAACTGAAGTTTCCTGTACCTGAGAAATAAAGGGGAAGGGGAGGTTTCAGGAAGAGTAGGATCAAAGGAAAAAGACATCTTAGCCCAGTAGGATTTCAGAACAAAAGTAATTTAAATTGCTTTACAGAAACTTATGAAAGGAATAAGGGCTCTTTGTGATAAACTTACAAAATTTAAAAATTAGATAAAATAATAAATATATTCCATAGTCCATCAGTAAGTAACCATTATAAACATTCTACCATCTGTTTACTTATCATATAATTTTTCCTCCTTCTATTTATATTCTCTTACACAAGTTGAAGATTTCCTTATATTCAATTTAGCACCACTGGTTTTTCAATTAATTTTATACCATTAATCTTTCTTCCCATGTCATTAAATTTCCCTTAGAGATAATTTCAATACCTGACCTACTTCCTATCACATGGATATACCACAATTTATCTACATATCTAGTGCTGGAGATTTAGTGATTATCTGCTTGTTTTTTAATTCTAAAAATGTTCTCTGCCATGGGCAGCATGGCTTTGACCAGGAAATAAGAGGGGGCGAGTGATACATAATGACAAAGGCAAGTACAAGGTTTTGTAAAGGGGGTGGGAGGGAAAGAGAATTCCTCTTAGAGAGGAAAAACTCCATGTCTGTCCTGGTAGATTTTATTCATTTGGGGAGCGATATTTCACATCAATTCACATGTGGTTTTTGTTTGTTTGTTTGTTTGTTTGTTTCCTGACTAATCACCATCCAGACAGGAGAGCTACAGAGAGAGGAGAGCAGAACATCTGGCCAATGCTTTAGGAATGTGCAGAGTAGATAGCAGAACATGTGCTGCCTGGAGCTCTGGCTTTGCAAACCACAAATCTTGTCAATAAAGTATCATCTCTTACCTTTTATCCTCAGACATCTGGCACTGTGCTATCTGTGCTGCTCTGGCTATTGATGACATTCCCTAACGATCTTCAAACTGTCAACTTGCTATCTTAAATACAGAACTTAAATACAGTACCTACATGGTGCGCCAGCAAGTTAATCTTCTGCCTATAATGTACATATCCCACATGGACACCAGTTCTAGTCCTGATTGCTCCACTTCCCATCCAGATCCCTGCTAATGCCCTGGAAAAGCAGCAGAGGATGGCCCCAGGACTTAGGCTCCTGCCTCCAACTGGAAGATTCGGAAGAAGCTCCTGGCTCCCAGCTCAGCTCTGTCCTTTTCAATTACATGGGGAAGTAACTAATGGATGGGAATGTTCTCTTCTCTGTTTCTCTGTTTGTCTCTCTCTTTCTCTCTCTCTCTTTCTCTCCAACTCTGACGCAAATAAAGAATAAGTAAGCATTTTTTTCTTTTTTTTTAAAACAATTGCTTCTGAGGCTTTAGCTTTTGGTCAATTGTTGCCTTGTATGCAGAATGTTCTAGCAGAATTTGTTCTGAAAACACTTAGCTTCTGTTAGAGGCATCTGATGATCATATTTATGCTTCCAGCTATATTTATGATGAGTTATTACATTAATTTAAATTTTCTTTGGTTCAACTTTTATTATGCTTGTATAAACTATTCTAGATAGACAAAAATGTTTGCCATGCTAAAATTAGGAATTCCATATCTTGACTTGAAGTATCTATTAAATGTCTATTCATGAGACACTTTAAACCTTTGCTGGTAAAGGGGCTATCATGCTTGCCACAGTAAGTATTCTGACCCAAGTCAAGAAGCAGGTAGTCTAGGACCCAAGTTAGGATAGACCCACTCAAAGTGTGTGAGTGTATTAGGGCACTTGAAAATAGTAAAGACTCTGGCACCATAGTAAAGACTGCACCAGTGACCAGATGCAAGCACACAAACATGTCTGGCATTGATCTGATATCTTTCCCCACTCATATGGTAGTTTATATGCTTTTAGACAGTAAAGAGGAATGCAATATTCTTGGAGAACAGTTTACCCAGGTATTTTATTTATTTGACTTAACTGAGTCATCCATACTCACAGTCACATTAGCCAATGGTGGATTTAAACCATGTTTATGATATGGCACACTTCAACTTGTCTTCAAAGATGGATATGTCATGGGAAATCATATTTCAATTACTGTACCAAGAAGTTGTCTCATTGTATAATAAAAGCATTTTAGAGATAGTCTTTAAATTTAAAAATAAAAAAGAATAAAACATTGTTGTGCTTTAGTCTATAAATGCAGCAGTTTGCATTGGCTTTCCCAGTCATTAGACTGAATTAGCTGGTTATGCTGTAGCAAAGCTTAATTTAACTAATAAGAATCAGCACACTGGTCTCACTTGACAATTGTAACCTCCAAAAGTGATCAATTAAGACATCACAATCTGTTTCATGACAACATATTGGGATGCCACAGCTGTGCAGATTATGAGGTCAGCAGCTGACTAACAACTTGAGGGCAAACACTGGGAACAACAGCTTCTTGTTTATGTGAAAAATATGTAATTGGGCTTCTGCTATGAACACACAGCTTTGCGGGGAGATAATTATCTTTAAACGACGTCTCACCCTTGTTTTGACTACTCACTTGGCCATACGGTCATTATGGTCAGAGTCTTAAGAGACTTTATCACATGCCTATACAAATTGGACACATTTCCAACTTACTGACAGTGATTCCAGGAGACCCCACTGAATGGGATGACTGCTCAAACTACCACTTAGTCCTAGGTGTCATTTCGCAAGACTGACAGTATTAATGTGCCTTGATGAATGAATCATTCCTAAGATTCAAGAAATACAAAAAGCTGGCTAATATTGAGCGATGCCTGTATGCAGTAAAAGGCACCTTCAAACTAAAATAAGAAAAAAGAAAAAGAGACACATGAATGGATGGCTTGACCCAAGGGGTGCTATAATCCAATTATCTCCATTTTTTATGTTAGTTTTACTGGTATACTTGTATCTCAAAATTCTTCGTAAAAAATGTATTGCTACAGGGCCCGGTGAGATGGCGCAGTGGTTAAGGTCCTCGCCTTGAGCACGCCCAGGATCCCATATGGGCGCCGGTTCTATCCCAGAGGCCCCGCTTCCCTTCCAGCTCCCTGCCTGTGGCCCAGGAAAGCAGTCGAGGATGGCCCAAAGCCTTGGGAACCTGCACCTGCGTGGGAGACCTGGAAGAGGCTCCTGGCTTCGGATTGGCATAGCATCGGCCGTTGCGCTCACTTGGGGAGTGAATCATCGGACGGAAGATCTTCCTCTGTGTCTCTCCTCTCTGTATATCCGCCTTTCCAATAAAAAAATATTAAAAATAAATCTTTAAAAAAAATGTATTGCTGTTTTTTTAAACTGATCTATGTTATTTTATCTGGAGGCCTTACTTGATAATATACCTCCATTTATTTGGTTCTGTCTCAATAAGTATTTATTCTTTTTACTTATCTCTCTGTTTATTTACTTATTTTCTGATATTGAGGCCCTGGATTCCCCAAGATCTTCGTTAACACCTGGTTTCAGTTTATCAAACCCTATCTTAATTCAGAACTTTTTGTTGTCTCTATTTTTTGCTTCTTCTCATTAAAATCAAAT